AGACTAAAGCGGAACACTGTAAACATCAGCTGTTCAAAGTTCCACTATGATAGTATTATAAATTCAATGTTTCCTTGTTTCTTAACCATGAACATAGACGAAATGCTGAGTGACACACCATCTAATATACTGAACGTCGTGTTCCGAGTCAGAGCTTAGCTTGATACATAACCCATGCACTCAAGTTGATAGCGGTTTACAACCACATTCAACAATCTACCATCATTGCGTCTAACGTTAATACTTCCCACTTGATAAATTCAGCACATTCGAATATGCTAAATAACATAAGTTTATAGTCTTCTTCCTGAACACTATACATTGTTGATATGCAGTCAGCAAGTCAAGCAATAGCTATGGACGTTTTGCGATTGTTGGATGTGAACACCGTTTCTTAACTTCAACCTAGTTATCTACTATTAAATGGCAGCAATATAAAGTGATAAAAGTTTATACATTTAGGAAGTCATAGTCTACAATAATAAGGGGGAGAGGAAAGATATAAGAAAGTGGGGCACACTTAGCAAGTCAGTACTGAAATCAGAACATATCAACAGGTTCCTGGCACATACAAATTCAGTGGTGAATGCAATCCAACTTACCTGTAACTTTGAGAGTGATGAAGGTAAACTAGCAATGTTGGATTCTTAGATTAAACGAAAACAAGACGAAAAAGTAGAGACTAGTGCCTATAGGAAACTTTCCTATCCAAATCGCTACTTAGACTTCAAATCCTCCAACCCCATTTCAGTTGAAGTAGGCTTAGTTAAATATCTTAGTGACAGGGCGGAAAAGCTTGCTAGTAGGATAGAAAATCTACGACAAGAAATTACAGACATCAGGAATACCTTGTGTCTCAGTAATTACCCCCACCTAAATATTGATTAATAATAATCCTACTAATAATGGAATTCATACTGGTGACAGGGTGGAGAGAGAATTCAAAGCCTCAGCTATGTTACCATACAAAGAAAGCACCTAAGTAAAACAAGGTAGAATTCACAATAGGTCTACCTGAGATTAGACTGGCATTGGAACCCACAAAGTAACTCCGAAATAATCTTTGTAGGTTAAACGATTTTATAGATACAACTGAGCAAACTAATTAAGTCTACTAAATACCTTGGAATGATTGCGAGGTCAAATACATAGGTGAAAGTAGTCGACTACGGTTGATTAGAATTATAGAACACAAAAACTTAGCTCAATATAGATTATTAATATTATTACTTGTCGATTGGGTTTCCAATGGAACATACGACCTCACTACCACGTCTCCATTCCACTCTCTTCTCTGCAATCTTTTCAACCTGACTCCACAACTGTCCAGAAACCCTCATTTCTTCCTCACACCATCTAATCCATGTCAACCTCGACTCGGAAGCCCAACTCGCAGTTCCCCGTCTCGGTTCCACTCGAGTGACTGGCCTGGAGCGTGATGTCCACAATCGGTCTTCTCAGTGTATGCCAAATCCAATCCATCTCTACTTCCTTCTGCATACTTGTTCAGTGATACGCTCTTGGTTGGTTCCTTAACAGCCACATTGAGTTCCTTGTTGCTAATTCTCTCTGGCCATATGATCCTCAGCAACCAGCCAGCGTAGACACTTGTTGATGGATATCTGTAGTTTGTTGGAAATCCCTTTCGTAACGCACCAAGTCCCTGGACCATCACATAGAAGCACTGACTTGACGTCGGTGTTGAAAATCCAGATCATGTTCCACATGCTGAGTGCAGTACAGTGCAGTGCAGTAGATCTCAACAATGGTTTCAGGCTAATGAACGCCTATCTTGTTTTTCCGATCTTGACTTTGACGTCCTCGTCTGTGCCACCGCTTGTAGTTGAAACGATGCTCCCCTGCCTACATAGGTGAAAGAGGCTACTTCCTTTACGTTTCTACCGTTGATTGTGACTGCAGCTCGTTGTTGTTGTTATTGTTGGTTGGTTGGGTATCTTCATCACCTCTGTCTTCTCTACGTTCACTTGAAATCCTGTCTTCTTTCGCTGCCTCTTCTGCCAACTTGTTAGTTTTCGCCTGTAGATCTTCAAGTTTGTGTAACATTAGACATAAGTCATCGGTGGCGAAATCCAAATCTTCTAGGTTCTTCCCCGAGGTCCAGCCATTGTGTCCCACTCTTCTCGCTCCTCACTGTTTGCTGCATGGTCCAGTCGAGTCTACCACAATCAGGAAGTTATTGGGTGATAGTAGGCGGCAGCCTTGTCTTACTCCTGCCTTCACTTAAAAGGCGTCACTGAGCTTTCCATTGTCAATTACTTGGCTGGCATGTGGCGTCCCCACATAGTTGTTGAATGAGATTCATACAGGTTTGTGGCACTAAAACCGTAGTGTTGAAACAACTGCCTGCCAAGTTACTTGTCGATCGACGCTGTCAAAAGCCTTTTCAAAGTCGATGAAATTGAGGTAGAGAGTTGACTGCCATTCTATACTCTGTTCCATGATGACGTGTAGCGTAGCGTTGCATTTTGGTCCGCACATGATTTGTACTTCCTCAATCCAGCCAGCCAGCCAGCCAGACTGTTCCGGTCGTAGTCTTGAATCCAGTGCATCCTTTAGTCTCTCTAGGATGATGTGGCTTAATATTTTGTTTGGGGTAGACAACAGTATAGTTCCTCGCAAATTCATGCGAAGTCTCAGGGCTCCCTTCTTCGGGAGTTTGACAAGATGGCTCTTCTTTTAATCTGCAGGTACCTTTCCTTCCTTCCTTCCAAACCTTCTGTGTTTAACCACTTCACTCTATTCGGTTAAAACAACCGTTAGTGAACATCACATATGAAAAACTATATTACACTTCCCAGGCTTTAAGTACATGTCAGATAGCAGCAGATTTACATTAAGTGTTCAGAAGTTTGTGCATCTTGTCAAAATACTTCCCTGAAACTCAATATAAAGAAAAATAAGTAAAAGAAATTTAGTATCCGTACACAAACCCAACTGTTCAACTATGAGTCATAGTTATAGTGTAAATCCCAAGGAAATTTCCAGTTGGTTTGAACTCACAATTCGATGATTCACAGACAAAAACATTACGCTGTAACCATATAGCATAATGTGGATGTAGGCATAGCATTCCTCTAGTTACTATCCTGTTGCCCACTATTCAGTCCGATCCTCAGTAAAACATTGAGACAGGACCCTCAAGTCTTTCAGAAGCCAAGAATGTGCAACATGGTCAAACAGACTAGTACTGGAGACATTTGAGAACGATGGTCATTGATTATTGGTCGGGTTTACGGAAGTGTTAGCAAACGTATGAGGATCATACATAGTCTTCACTGAGTGGTACCGATAATCAATTGTAACAGTCCTCAGAGAAGGCGAGAAGTCAACTTGTGATAACCGCAAGAGAACCAGCCTAATGAACATATTGTAAGAGATTCCAGAATTATCAGAAGTCTAAGCGGAGCTTTGGAAAAGCAAACCCGAGGAAGTCAGACAGGCTTCAGACCTGCCCTTGGGTGTATCAATCACTCATTCACTCTGCACAACGCTCAGGAACACAGACACAGTGACGGCCGACACTAGCAGTATTCGACTCCGTGGGTTGGGAGGTCTCATGTCAGTGTCTCTCACGGAAAGGGGTGCTAAGTAAGTAAATCACTCTGCTGCAGGCTTTCTACTAGAACACCCGTGAGTGTGCTAGGGCCTGTGCACACCGAGTGGTGTTCGACAAGGATATCCACTCTCTACATTACTCACTTTGTCGCAGACATACTTATGGAGGTCTTCCTCTCATCGTCACAAGAGAAACCTCATTAGATACAGAGTGTGCAGATGACATATTCAGGTTATGTGAAAACCCTGCTAAGACCCAGAATCTTCCCAACACATTGAGTGCCGATTCGAGAACGTTCGGCATGGGTTGTTTCTCGCCACCCGAATGTAAATTATTGCTCCAGGATTGGTCTCCAGAGGCGACCTGCCTAACAATATAGAGTGAAATGGCTAAGCGCGTTAACCACTTCACTTACCTAGGGTCGAACTAACCTTGGTGGGTCAGCTACTCACGAAGTCACTACACGATTTAAAAAAGGTTTACTTTTCGCCTGCTTACACCATCTACGGCACCGCCACAACATCCGGCTGCATATTCGGAGTCGAGTGTATTACGTTGAACTTCGTTTTGTTCTAAAATATGGCTGTCAAACATGGCCATTAAAGGTGGAGGATTTAACAAGGCTTCAGTAGTTCGACCACCGACGTCTTCGCAGCATTGGCCATGTATCGTGGTATCATATCAATAAAGTAGAGGTCAGGTGTACAGTTCCAGGGAAAAGAGGAAAGATAACTGATGAGTTTGTGAACCTTCGTCGACTGAGGTGACTGGGACATGTATTATGTATGCCTAGTTACCACTCATCTCATCATACAACTTTAGCTGAGGTAGGCTTAAGATGAAAAAGAGTTAGAGGTGGCCAGACTGAAACGTTGCAACAGTTCTTGAAGTCGTTGACCGTTGATCTGAACTGTGTAGAGATATGATAACTTCGCGGTCAGGGTTCACGTGAGAACAGAAATCAGCGGTTGTAGACTCTAGGTGACATGGCTCAGAATCGATTTCAATAAAGCAGATGCATCCATACATCATTCTCATCTTAATCGTCGTATGGAAACCCATATTTTCGAATCCCTCCTTGTTATCTTATCACAATTCTCTACCACTTTTGATCACCTTCTTCTCTTTCATCTTGGTACATTGTCACCTTATATGTTGATATGAGATGTGACAACTCGGACCACTAAACTTAAATGCCATGTCCTATCCTGGTATTGTCTGTTTTCGGCACAGAATTAAACTGATGTATGAGTAAGTAATATAAATTTTAACGGTACTGCTTCATACTGTTCACTAGAGATGACTATAAGAACACATAGCATAAAGGAGCATAAAAACTTCAAGTGCATGTAACTGAGGATACTTTATAATCACGTCCAGATACCCCGTAACTCAAGGCAAAATAGTGAACAAAAAACGAGAGTTAAAGCTATACATTATTATTTTAAATCCTGTTGAACATAGAATATTCTTGTTTATACCAGCGACTTAAGCAATATCATGCAAAGTTAACATGATGACATGAGAAAAGAAAGAGTATCACTGACTAACAACACAACTTTCTATATAATAAACACTATACTCAATAAAGAAAATTCATATAATTACGCAAAAATATTAGATTTATATTAGAGAAGATAAAAATCTCAAAATAATAAAAAGTAAATGCTTATTCTGATCAAAAATGCATAAAACAGGAAAGATTGAGTTATGAGAAAGCCTTATGGTATAAAACGAGAAAAGAGAAAACAATAAGAATCATTAGTTCAAATTTGAATACGTATTGTCCTATGATAATATACAACCTAAAGGACAACAATACCGTGTTCTTTGCTGACTAGGTATTGAAAGATTCAGATCCCAATCATCCCATTCATCAGCATTTTTTGAAAGGTTAGACCATCCACGAGTTTGTCGATCACTTTTTAAAAAGTCGTGTAAGCCTTCATTGGAAACTTTTTGAAACAATGAGCCATCAAACTCTTCGCTGTAAGAAAAACAATAAATCAGTATTAGAATGAACGTTTAAGAAAAAAAAGTTAGGAAACAATTATTTATTTACTGATACGGTGAACATTACTGTGGCCCACAAGACAAATAAAAAAGTCCTTTCTACAAATAAAAATAAAAAAGACCCGTACACATAATCATTAGTATTATTATTTGTTCTTTGAGTTCCTAGTGGAACATACGACTTCACTACCACGTCTCCATTCCACTCTCTTCTCTGCAATCTTTTCAACCTGACTCCACAACTGTCCAGAAACCCTCATTTCTTCCTCACACCATCTAATCCATGTCAACCTCGACTCGGAAGCCCAACTCGCAGTTCCCCGTCTCGGTTCCACTCGAGTGACTGGCCTGGAGCGTGATGTCCACAATCGGTCTTCTCAGTGTATGCCAAATCCAATCCATCTCTACTTCCTTCTGCATACTTGTTCAGTGATACGCTCTTGGTTGGTTCCTTAACAGCCACATTGAGTTCCTTGTTGCTAATTCTCTCTGGCCATATGATCCTCAGCAACCAGCCAGCGTAGACACTTGTTGATGGATATCTGTAGTTTGTTGGAAATCCCTTTCGTAACGCACCAAGTCCCTGGACCATCACATAGAAGCACTGACTTGACGTCGGTGTTGAAAATCCAGATCATGTTCCACATGCTGAGTGCAGTACAGTGCAGTGCAGTAGATCTCAACAATGGTTTCAGGCTAATGAACGCCTATCTTGTTTTTCCGATCTTGACTTTGACGTCCTCGTCTGTGCCACCGCTTGTAGTTGAAACGATGCTCCCCTGCCTACATAGGTGAAAGAGGCTACTTCCTTTACGTTTCTACCGTTGATTGTGACTGCAGCTCGTTGTTGTTGTTATTGTTGGTTGGTTGGGTATCTTCATCACCTCTGTCTTCTCTACGTTCACTTGAAATCCTGTCTTCTTTCGCTGCCTCTTCTGCCAACTTGTTAGTTTTCGCCTGTAGATCTTCAAGTTTGTGTAACATTAGACATAAGTCATCGGTGGCGAAATCCAAATCTTCTAGGTTCTTCCCCGAGGTCCAGCCATTGTGTCCCACTCTTCTCGCTCCTCACTGTTTGCTGCATGGTCCAGTCGAGTCTACCACAATCAGGAAGTTATTGGGTGATAGTAGGCGGCAGCCTTGTCTTACTCCTGCCTTCACTTAAAAGGCGTCACTGAGCTTTCCATTGTCAATTACTTGGCTGGCATGTGGCGTCCCCACATAGTTGTTGAATGAGATTCATACAGGTTTGTGGCACTAAAACCGTAGTGTTGAAACAACTGCCTGCCAAGTTACTTGTCGATCGACGCTGTCAAAAGCCTTTTCAAAGTCGATGAAATTGAGGTAGAGAGTTGACTGCCATTCTATACTCTGTTCCATGATGACGTGTAGCGTAGCGTTGCATTTTGGTCCGCACATGATTTGTACTTCCTCAATCCAGCCAGCCAGCCAGCCAGACTGTTCCGGTCGTAGTCTTGAATCCAGTGCATCCTTTAGTCTCTCTAGGATGATGTGGCTTAATATTTTGTTTGGGGTAGACAACAGTATAGTTCCTCGCAAATTCATGCGAAGTCTCAGGGCTCCCTTCTTCGGGAGTTTGACAAGATGGCTCTTCTTTTAATCTGCAGGTACCTTTCCTTCCTTCCTTGGTGGTGGATTCAATAGCTTTGTGAAGTGGTCACCCCATCATTTCCTTTGTTTCTCTTCTTCGGTAACTAGCTTTCCTTCACTATCTCTCATTGGTATCATCTGCGTTGATCTCTTCCCTCCCTGATAGTAACCTGGTTATTTGACACAATGTTGTCAGGTCCCAGTCTCTCCTACCTGCAGCCTGTCCTGCTTCACCTGCCAGTGTGTCGTAGAAGCGCCTTTTGTCTTCGCGCACACTTCTTCACTTCCTTGTCCAGTGTTTTATACGTTGTACTCAGTTCTTCTTCTCGTTGTTCATCTGTGCCCGCACTGCACTGGTTCATCTTCTGCTTCACCATCACCATCTTCATCTCCTTCCTCCATCAGCTTCTATGTGTCCGTCGAGATCCATTCCATTCCTTGCCTCGTTTCTTCTTCCTCCTAACACAGTTGTGCAGGTTTCATTCCGCATAGCTTCAAAGAGTTCCAGTGTTCACTCACACAGGTTTCTTCACGGATGTTGCTCGATATCTCCCATTTTGTCCCGATGACTGGCTGACTGACTGACACGAGGATGTCCCGTGTACTTTCGTCCTTCAGTTTCTGTTCTGGGTCTTCAACTTGAACTGTGGTCTATCACCAACTTCTTTCAAGGTTTTCAACTTCATTCGGAAGGTTCCTTGCACTAGATAGCGAGAGGTGTGAACCTACATCTGCTCCCCTCCTTGACACTGTGTCAAGTTGGCTGCGTCTTCACTTTCTTCACATTGAGATGAAGTTGATCCGATTTTTAGTGTCTCCTGGTGTCTTGTGAATACAAGTCCATGTCGCTTTGTGGATATCCTTGCGCTTGTGCACACTGCCTCCAATCACCAAATCGTTGAATGCACAGAATTCTGCAAACAGTTCTTCATTCTCGTTCATTTCACCGAGAGCTTCTCGACCCATTGTCAGTTCTCTTCCTGTCTTGTCCGCTCCCAGTTTCGCATTCATGTCACCTATTAGGATGAATTTTGATGTCACCCACTGCAGTGTTGTTCAGTACTGATTGCAGTTGTCTGTTGAATTCCTCCTTCTTCTATTCATCTGCATTATTTGTAGGTGCCTAGCGTAGTATTGAATAATCGTGACTATCCTTCCTTTTGGGTTGAATCTTGGTGTCATTATCCCGATGCAAGTGGATATTGGTTCCCACCGTATGAGAGCCCTCGATGCTCTTGGGGATATCATGATAGCCACTCGAAAACCCAGTGTGCTGTGCTCGTGGTTGTCGTCTGGGTGACAACATCGGAGTCGATTATTGATTCTCCAGTTGACATTTTGGAGAGTCAACTTCCATTTCACCTGCAGGTTCTTCGCAGATTCCTAGCCTAGCACTTCTATACCATACCTTCTCATCTCTATGGCAATCTGGGCAGCCTTGATAGCTTAATACACGATGCAGACATTCCATGCTCACAGTCTTACTTTCGCTTTCATCGAGAGAAGATAAGATACATCGGCCAATTGGCTTCCCGAAAGCCTTCACCAACCGGCGTCATTTCGTCTCTCCGATTCCACTGAGGAATAAGTTTGTTTTCATGTTTTGTATTTTGTCTGTGCTTTGAAGTTTCTGTTGCGGTTGGACTGGCTTAACGGGGTATGGTTGCTAGCCCTTTGCCCAACCTTCCCTCTTTACCTGGGCTTGGGACCGGTTAGTAACTAGTGAACTAGTTAACCAGGCGAGGTTCTACGAGACATAAGTGAGACTGTAATGCATTTGCCACTGAATTGCTGAACGATGAGTTCAATTGCCATTCTATTTACTTTCATTCCAACAGCTTTCTAAGCTACAGAACAGACAAACGTCCAAGTGGCTACTGAGTGCATTTTTCCCCCGTATAAATATATCATCTTGTTGCCTAAGCTGAAGAAGCCGGAACAGAATCAGAACTTTAGACTAACTGCTTGAAAGTAGGATATTTGAACCGAAGTTACAGGTTTCTATCGGCACTTTTCAAACTAATTCTACTCTAATTAACATAGAGTGGTTGGGGGAGATGGTGGTTTTGCATGCGCAACAAATTCTCTTGAAATCTCATGTGATGGTTAGTAACTTTATCAACCGATTCGTATCTGCTAATGAATACTCTAATAATAAACTCTGCAGTGCTTATTTGATGTTTTCATCAAATAAATCCAAGTAATTCAATCAGCATCCAGTCTTTGTAGATCCTCCACTTTTAGTAACCACGTCTCATCATCATCATTATCATCAAGATCAACACCGGGCGAGGCATTAGTGCGTAATGTGATATCAACACACCAAGTAATAAGGTAATAAAGTGGGAAATGAAGAAAGAGTAGAAGAGATTAGGGAGGAATGAGAAAACTATGTGATTAAGTATAGCGGTTAAAATGAGGATAATATGTGTATGCATCTGTGCCACTGACATCGGTTCTGAGCCAAATCACCAAGAGTCTCCAACCACAAGTTTCTCTTGTCACGCCGACCCCAACCGGCTAGTCTGCATAGACTTACATGGCTCAAACCAACTGTCAAGGATTTCTTGCATTGGTGCCATGTTTTAGTCTAGTCGCATAGAGGCAACGGTGGTCAAACACCTGAAACCTTCTCATGTCTTCCACCTTCAAGCGTCACGTTTCACAGCCATACGGTAGAACAGAGCGGACTGCTGCGCAGTACACATGACTCTTAACAGACAATCGAATATCCCGAGGGAGCCACAGATGGAGTAAGTTGGCAAAAGCCAACCAAGCTTTTTGTATCCATGCAGAGATTTCGTCACACATTGACCCCTCAGGTGTGATCCGACTTCGCAGGTAAGTGAAGTGCCCAACGCACTCAACCACTTCACTCTCTATTGTTAGCCAACGGACGGCTGAAAACCAGTCCTAGAGTAACAATTTGCATTAGTATGAAAAGAAACGCATCCCAAACATTCTCAAATTGCAACTCAGTGTCCACACGACACTGCATTTTGTCAGCGTCTTCACTTAACAGGACTATATTATCTGCATATTCTTGCTGTACGAAAATTTTCCTATGATTTGGTGTAGTCAGATAACAAAAGGGAGACCTCTGCAAGAACATCTATTATAAAATTGAGTAACAATGGAGAGCGCGGGGATCCTTGACAGACAGTACTCGATGCAAATAGCTAAACCACATCTCACCATTGGCTCTAACAAGCCCACAGCTGTTCAAGTAATGAACCTTAAATAAGGTAGTGTACTTACTTGGAACACCTTTCAGTGAGAGACATGACCACAAGACTTCTCGAGCAACTGAGTCGAATGCCGCCTTAAGGTCGAGAAATACAGCTGGTGTTGGGCGTCGACAAGCGATCCTGTGTTCCAGAACCTGACGGAGCCTGAATATTTGGTCTATACACCCACGGCTAGGTCTGAAACCTGCCTGGTTTTCTTGGGCTTTCTCTTCCCGAACTCCACTCTGGCGTTTAGTGATTATAAGACCTAGAATCTTAGACATTATGTTTGTCAGGCTGATTCTCCTGTGGTTATCACAAAAGGGCTTCTCACCTTTCCTGAAGAATGGGGTATTCAGTGATTTAAACCAGTCAGGAAGGATCATATTTGATTCCCATATACTAGTTAACACTTCCGTTAACCTGACAAAGAGCACTCTACCACCATCCTTATATACCCCAGGAGTTAGTCCGTCTGGTCCTGCTGCCCTTTTTCGTTTCAAGTTACTTACCGCTTTCTCAACTTCTGCTGGTGTTGAGGGACCTGTCTCAATGTTCCATTCAGGATCTGACTGGATAGCTGGCAACGCAATAGTAGCTGGTGGCTAGTCGAACCGTTCCTCGAAATGTTCTGGTCATCTTTCCAAACATCTCCTTTGCGAGTGAATCGCAGACCCATCCTTCTCAACCATAGTCTCACTAACCATTGACCTTTTCGCCTCAGTTCTCTTGATAAGTCTAAATAATTGTCTACTGTTACCTATCGCCGCTCCTTTTTCCATCTCTTTGGCCTTCTCTGCCCACCACCTTTCGTGGTCGTTGCATAGACTTTTTCTCAGCCTACTTTTAAGTTGCGCTCGCTTTTCGTCGTACTCAGAGCCTGCAGAGATGCGTTCACGTGCATCCATTAGTTCGGAAGAAGGTGCTGATATCCACTGGCTCCCTTTAGCCACTCTTTCGGAGTCGGCTACGGTCTTCAGCGCTGCTTTCATAGCATAACTTCTTCTGGATGAGTGATAGTGTTCTGTTCCGATAACTGTCTAACCGATTTCTCACTGAAAGCGATGTTTTCGTTGTTGAGCTGCACTCGTAATGGTTTTGTTGCCAAATGCAAGCATATACGTGCTCGAACCAACGCGTGGTCGCTATCCGAACACGTACTCCAGAAGGAGCGACAATCTCCCATCGATCATCTTCATCGATAACTGGTAGCAATGTTGTCTATCTGTGTCCATCGCTGAGTTGAGCTTGGTGGACGCCACGTCAGGCAGTGTCTTTCTTTATGTGTGAAATTTGTGTTGTCAGGATTCCGAGAGTGCTACCTAAGTGTCTTTCTGTCTCATTCAGTCTACCCATATGTGCACTGAAATCACTTGCAACAACCACCACGTCTGAACGTTTGGCTTTCAGAGAGAGGCTAGACAGTTTTCGGTAGAACTCGTCCTTCACTGCATCCGAACTTCAGTCAGTGGGTGCGTAAGTAGAGGTTACAAAGAGTCGGCGGCAAGCTTCATCATTCCTTTTAGTTCTCACTGTGCCCTTCAGTCGGACAGCGCAGAGGCGACTGTCAACAGAGATCCGGTCTAGTACTGAGCTTTTTGTTCCAGTGCTTAATGCTATGCCTACATCTGCAAGACCACGAGAACTAGCCATCGAATCTCCAGGAACTCGAAGGGTAAATTTTGTGGATTCACCATATTGGCTGGAAGAGGTTAGGTGAACAAACACACTTGGGTCCTGTATGCGTGTCTCACAAACACACCACACATCCATGGCCCGGGTTGCTAGTCTTGGCCAGTTAAGCCTGTTGACCGATTTGGCGGAGGGTGCAGACATTGAAGGCCTTGATGTGTAATTTGGAGAATAGTTTAAGGAGGCCAGTGATGGTGTTCTGTGGATTCAGATCGTTGTCGAAGGCTGCAGAGATAGGCGAAATTGAAGATGATGTAGTATCGTTGGTTGAGAGACGTGAAGTAAGATTAGAAGGTAATGATGAGGGAGGTGGATTGTGGTCTGAAGGAACTTGAGTGCTGACAGAGTTGTGAGGGCGGTTGACACTTTCCGGCTGCCCATACCATAGAAGGCTAAGTCTTCTTGAGGTACCTGACACAGATTTGTGTGATCGGAAAGCCCGTCAGACATGTACTTGAGGCCTGTTTCACCCAGCCTTTTGTGTATGGTTGTTTTGTGCTTTTGTTATTTTGGGGCCGGATGGTCGAAAAGAAAGGACATATGAACCAACGTCGCCGACCCAGCAGACAGTGGGGTATGGTGGTGTGTTATTTCTTGACCGATCTTTTCTAACACCCCCTTCCACTGAGAGGGCAGCATGGTACATCCAAGGGAAATACCTTACTACTGTCACACCCCATCCAGCTAGCAGCGTTATGACTTCGCCCTTAGGTCCCATTATAGTGTAGTAATTTACACCACAACAGTAACTTCTTTTCGCCTAACCACTATCCAACAGATCTTTTTGGTATGGTAGGTCTCGAGGGAACAAATGTTTCATCAGCATAGCTCGTTGGGTCACTATGATATGGAAGCCCAACCACCACGTTAATATAGTAGCTATCATCGAACGGCCAACAGCGACTATAAGTAAATACTGACTAACTAGGCAAGGTGGATGTAAGATCCTAAATTAGTCCAATAAATAGATTTCAAATCTAAATTGCGCTGGTATTTTTGGCTTAGGAGTTTTTTAACCAAAGCATAGAATTATAAATCAGGTGAAAACAACTGCGAATAATATAAATATGATAGCCCGGATGTATACGAATAAAACAAAGCCTACGAGAATATTTCATGATTAGAAAAAACAAAATTATGGCAATGGATCACGCCCATTTAATGACGACTTGTAATGCTATATGACCAACAAACTACTGTAGATGGAGCAGGACAGAAATACACGACACCGTTTGAAAGTCAATTATCTAGGTCAACGTGACACTGTCAGTTAGAGTACTTTAAGTTATCACTAACCATTGTCCCCCTGGAAGCTGAGAAGTCTCGCTAACAAAGAAAGAGTACTAGACAGTAACGGGGTCAGTGCTACTTTGTGATACAGATATTGGACGGTAGAACCTTATGACCACAAAAATCAAATCATGCTTTGTGTGCTATAAATATATAGTTCTGAACAGGGACTTGAGATCAGGGGATAAAAAAGAAATTTAAATCGACAGAACTACTCTGACTACACGCACTTAAAAAGGGAGATGGACTGATATAGTTTGGTTGTAGGACACAAAAGACTATTTAGAGCCAATAGAATGATTTTCGGCATTCCACATTCCCTAAATAACCAATCGATAATGGAATCTATTGGCGTGAAGAATAATCTAGTTGTAGGGTCAAATTTCCAGAATTATCTCTCTCAGAGTAACAAGTAGATAATAGCTAGAAATGCTGAAGCAGATTACATATATGAACTACCAAGTTAGTCAACTTTCAACAGCAATGGTGATGACAGATAAGTCACCAGGACAAAATGCCTATCAAATACAAAGTGGAATGCCAAACGATGTGGTCCGATATGTCTGTTTCAGCAGCGAATTCAAAATACTTTGAATGTCTGGTCTTACCCAGAAAATTATAGGCTAATGTTAATAAAGTTATTATTTTGAAAAGCGCAATCATCGTTCCTAAAGGGTAATTGTATGAACTAAACTGAAATAAAACCGGCTCATTGATCAAATCAGAAGACTTATGAGATTTTACCAGTCTTAATCAATATTAACCGAACAATTATTGAAAACAATAAATTGGCAAAAAATTCCTGAAATCTTGCTTCTGATTTAATGTGGATAGATGAATAAAAACCAGAGAAACTTTACACCAGGTACAAATATGTACACTGTAATGCAACTTATATTTGTGTGAAGAGTCTAAAGAACACGATTCGAACGGGTAAGTTAATTCTAATTTGAGCCTTTGTAAGAATTTTTTGAACGCTGTGAATACAATGCAGTTTACACTATAGAAGTTCGGATGTTTTTGGTCAGAATTTAGAGACAGTAAACAGTATTGAAAACCTGCCATTTTTAAATAGTCTTTTATTCGCAAATATCCACCGAAAAGATTTCGCGTGAGACAAATGTGTGTAACTTTTAAATACCATTACAATGACGAATGATGAAAACAATTACAAATTTACATAGTTACGTCATACATCAAAACCAGTCAGATGTCACACTGTAGTGAAGTCTAGCACAGTTAATGAAACATACAAACTAAAATAAATGAAAAAGTTAAAGGACAAACCTATCATCACAGTTCACAGGGATAAGTGGCATATGTTTGGTATAATTACTTTTGCTCCAAAACTGACTCGATACATCATTTTTAGGGAAACGAAGTTTTTCTTTTGGCAGCAGCTTGTATCGTCTTGATTGTTTTGGTCGAACGACTGTAATTGAAGGAAGATGAGAATTACTACGAGTTTCTTCAGATTCAGTTAATGGCGATTTATCGATGGCGAAGTCCATACTTGTCACACGAATCTGAAACTAAGTTTGAGGACGATAAACGATTTGCTTCGTTTACAGTACAAGAGCTGTTGAAAGTTACAGTTTAAAAATGCCTACGAGATATCACTTTTATTCAACGAAATATCTTACAGTGAATATGTGTCTGACAATATCCCTTCACTTTCTGGACACAAAATCATGCTTCTACACAAGAACATAACGCACTTTTAAGAATCCTGTCACTAGTGGAAACTGCTGACTTGTCAAACAGTTTGGAGAAAACTGGTTGAATGATCCAAACAGCAATACCTGCAGATGAACACCAGTGGAAATATACTAATACAGATTGGTCAGTCGGACTGTCACCAGAATTTCAGGTTTGGGATACACTTTGTACCTACTAAATGTAAAACGCCTCAGAACTGGTATGCACTAACCACTAGTTTGAGGATGCAGTGCATTAATTTACCTATGTGTTATATTAGTTCTGATGGATTGACCAATAACGAAATCTCCAAACGTTTGGTATTTGCAAAAAACTCCCACCTCTGAGGAGAGTAGTATCTGATGGCTCGTCAAAAACGTATATGCTGCTCCGTAGCTCATTGTCCTATGTTAAGACTGCGATATAGATGTTTAAAGTCGAAAACTCGAGATTTTTGTTCTGGATTTTCCGTGGGATTGTTCAACTATGGTGAAACCGTGGAATGAAAAATGTTTAAGTCAAGCGTAGAGTAATAGGCTAGGAAGGCGAGCTACTAGATATGACTGCGAGAATTTATCAGCTTAGGTAGTTGAGAAATGTGTTGCACATGCTGACGGAACCATAAGAAATTCCTGAAACCGTTCTATTTAGCTTAGTATTAACCCAAGTTTCTTAAAAACAATGGGAAACAGACCAGAACTCTACCTGAAACAGCAATATCGGCTCTCAGCAAATGTCATTAGGGGGGAATCGAGTCCCATCAAGTACGCCTACTGCAAGAATAAGGACAAACCGGAAGGTATACTGTCTTTCAGACCAGAAAGCTGCATAAATATACATGGTTTCGCTGTAAACGATTATACATTACCACCAAATGTTGAAAACTGAATCAATAAATTGAGCACACTCCTATAGGAGTGTAGTATACTATTCCCAATAAAAAATATTTCGTTTGTTTGGGAAAGGTACCATGAACCTGTCAATATGCAGAAATTCTTCAACATATAATTTCACCAAAAAGGTTTTAAATCGTACCTACAGTGATACTACGTGAGCAATAATTATTGTTAAGAACTAATTATTAACATTCATTCTAAGATACCATAAACCACAGTCACTTTTCTGTTGAAGGCCTAAACAATTTTCGAGACAGTTATGTCAACTTTACTGTTACTATGCACAGAACTGGCTACATTTCTCTCACCAAATTTACCAGTGTGCTAGAACAGTCATCCACATCTGAAGCGCAATGAATCATATCACCTCATTTTACATAGTCCAAGGGTTCAATAATAATATTGTGAACAATAATAATAATTCACTTTATTCCAAACAATTTGTGGTACAATTTGGAATCCTCAGCATAATATATATTGCAATAACAACAAAACATAAGTATATACAAACTACTTTGCAGCCTTTTGAATTGTTTTATTATAGAAATTTAAGTTATGTGAAGAATATTAAAAACGAGAAAATTTTGCATTGTAAGTTGAATCATTGAAATGAGATTTTTAACTGTCACAAAGTTGATGTGTGATTTCTGTTCTAACACTTTTTTCCCCACAAAATATATGTGCAAGGCAAGGTACAGTTGGATTCTTACACTTAGCTGTACGAACGTACAGTTGTTTCTATTTTCTTCTTGTCCTCCCTGAGGAGCTGTAAGTGAAGTGGATGCTCACTGTCAATTAAAATTTCTGTAGCTAGTAGCTTGTAGGAATTTATATGTCGATCAACTACAGCGTTAATCAGTTGAGTCAGAGACACACCACTCACCCTGCTGACGGTCTTCAAAGCCCTACGTAACATCACATAGTCCCTTTTAAGAAGACCAGGAAAGATTAGTGGGGACCAATATAGAAGAATAGGCAAGATGCAGAGATTAATAAATTGTAAAAGAAGCCTCAATTTCTTTACGTAATAAGTTAAATGAAAGATTTTTTTACAAGTCAATAAGATATGGGAGGACCAACAAAGGTCAGAAGTAAAAAGCAACCCGAGATAGTTCAAACTTGATTTACTTTCTGCAGGGATACCATTGATGCAGCAGGCGTCATGAGATTTAAGCAGCTCACATAAGTCTCGTTTACGCCTGAGGCTAAAATTAACGGTCTGACATTTAGAGTGGTTTAGTTTGAGACCATTTGAGAGAGACCATTTGCCAACTTCAGACAAGAATTCGTTTACTTTCGAGCAATCCAAAGAAGAGTTTACTGGAATAGAAATAGTCAGGTCGTCAGCATACTTGATAAAATTAGTTTCAACAGAATAAGGCAAATCGTGCAAAAAAAAGGAAAAGAGAAAAGGAGAAAGTACAGCACTTTGAGGCACACCAGCTTCAGTAAGCAATGAAGTGGAGCGCATTCCTTTATGAATAGTGTATTGTTTCCTTTCAGAAAAACAAGAATGCAGCCATTTTGCAACGCATGAATCAGTGTGAACTATGGCAAACTTATTTAACAAAAGTGGTCTAGGAACAGAGTCAAAGGCTGATGAGTAATCCAAAAAGGCACAACGGACATACTTAACACCTTTGCCGAGGCTACAAACAATGTTATGATGCAAGACAGTAGCTGCATCTAAAGTACTCCTCCGGTGTTTGTAAGCAAACTGTTTTGGATCTCTGAAGGCCATCAATGAAGGCTCAGTCACAAGCAGAAGTAATTTCTCCATTGTCTTCAGAAAAGAGGAAGTTATAGCTATAGGTAGAAAAGTAAAATCTGATCCAGAAGATGGCTTAGGCACAGGTACAATTTTTGTCTGCTTCCAAGCAGTGGGTATTATGTTTTTAAAGAACGACACACTGAAGATATCTGTAAGTGGATGACACAAAATATCTGCACATTTTCTAAATATGATACCAGAAACACCATCAGGACCTAAGCTTTGGGAGTGATTCAAAGACTTCAGACATTTAAATACATCATTTGTATTGAAACCTTGAAAGCAGCTATCCACTTGATTTTGCACATTAGGAAGGGTGAAATTAGCTTGCCGATGTATAAATGACTTGTTTAACGCACAGACATCCGAACGGGTCTGTGTTGTCATCTGTTTTTTACCTGTAAGCTATTTAAATAATTTCCACATATTGGAAGAGTTCTTACACGACAAGAACTTCTGGTTTCATATGGTATTCAGACGTTGTATTTCAGACTTAATTAGACAGTTAAGCCTTTTAACGCCAGGATGATCTCTCGCCTTATACAACCTTTCTTTTTCTCTCCAAAGCCTCTTGAGATGAGGAGAGGAAAGTCTGTCAAATCTCATGTAAATTGTTCCAGTAGGGTAGCAGATATCGAGACAGAATCTGGGATAGCTTGTGATATTGGTAATAGTGTTGTCTAAAAGTTCGTCAGCAAACATATCCCAATCCGTTTCTATAAGCATGCTACTCAAACGTAATATATTTTCTTGTGAATAGCACTCAAATAGATATTGGAGGAACAGAAGCTTTTGTTGAACTGACTTCCACGTCAACAATCCGTAGATCATTGGCTTTTGTGGTTGCTTATCCGTTTGGAGGTGAAGAAAAGGCAAAATGAGGCTCGTGATTCTTTGAAAATTCAGTTACTTCCTGGCGCTGTCTGAAAAGGGAAGCGACTTTTCACGTTTTGCTAGATTCTTGGCATTTTTTGTGTTTACACAGTAAAGGCTGTCATATTTTTGCTCTAATTAGGATACTACTTAATTAAAGTGAGCCAGGAACTTTTGCTGGGTGAATTTCTGTAGTTTCTGCTACACGGTTAACCAAAATTATTCTAAATATGGTTGTGGTGGGGCCGGGTTCCCCTTCAAAGTGGCCTCATGTATGCAGTGTATCAAATGTTAGACTCGGTTCCGTGACAACCACACAAGTTTCACACCCTCATCATATAATATGTACAGCAACGCGGGAAGTTTGTGATTTTGTACCTTATGCTGCTCGGATATTAGTACTCTGGTAGAAGAAGCAAATGCACTTCCGAATACGATAACTAAGAAACTATCGTCGAAAGTCAAAGCAGATAACTGTGACAGTGATAACGATACAGCATCCATTGACACAGGCTGTTATGCAAAACTTCAAGAACGTCCCACGACAAGCTGTAAGTCGAGTGCGCAAACTACCCACCAGGTTTGCTGACAGCGACTTTGAAAAAACTACACCAAGCACGGTGAAGCGAGTATCTTCTGGTTCTCGCATTCCCAGGGCAGGCGGACCCAGCCTGAAAACTTCTGACCATACGACTATGCCTGCTTCAGGCGAAAGAAACAGGAGTGAAGCACTATCAGTGCCAACTACGGGACCATGCAGGCAGCAGGTCGTATCTAGCTTGGCGACCCAATCATTGATAAGAATTAGACAGTGTGAGATGCAAGTCCGTCCTGAAGCTCTCGGCGTCAAGGACATAGGGCCGGGCTTTAGCAAACCTTGCATACCCGACTATGAAAAATGGCAAGTAACTAAGTCTAAATGGCACGCCAAGAAGCCAGTAGCGGTCGTCAAACCAGCTATCATCACTCCACAAAGCAAAGACAACGTAGAGATCCTGAAAAGGTCCGTAATCTTCCACTGAGTGGAAGAGAGTAGAGACCCAGAACCATGTAAATGTTTCGGGCATGACCTTGTCAAGGTACAAGGTTTGATCAACCAGCTTTTATTGGGAAACATGCCAGGGGTCACCCCACCCAAGAAATGTATGGGCTAGGCAAACAGGAGGAAGTCATTACTGAAAACAGGTTTCGCTACTTAAAGTCGTGTTCAAGTCAACAGATGAGATTCTGAAAAATGCCCGCAGGCTTCAATGATCTGGAGTGTTCGAGCGAAAGGACTTGGGTCTTGCCGATCGAATTAAAAAACGAGAAGCAGAAGCTGAACTTAAATCCGGATATATGCGGGGCTTTAAATGCACTCTATCCGAATTTATATATTTGTGATGAAAATGCATCTTTACCTTAATTCACTCTTCAAACACTTCGCTCCATAAGAGATATTTCTCTAATACAGGAGGGCGTAAGTGGGACTATAGCTGCATTAAAGTGTCCAAAAGGTCCGGGGCCATATATAATACCTTCTAGCTTCCAAATATGTTGCAGCAAAGATACCCCGCTCCATCTCCTTAAAGTTTTCTCCATATCTTCGTCTACCAGAATCCATTCCGAAGCGTGGAAAACGGCGAACGTCATACCTAGGTTCAAACCACGATCACGCCCATGAGCTGCAATCTACGAACCCATTACGACAACCCGGGTTTTCTCGGGCGTCCTAGAAAAGCTAGTTAAAGACGCTGTTTCTCGATTCCCTCTTCAGAAGGAACCCACAATTTCTTCCCAGGATGACTCCATGAGGCAGTGCTCATGCACAATCTGTCCCCTGGAACATTATGAATATATTTCGTCACTAAAAGATGCTTGCATGATAGTAGTGGCAGTAGGGGCAGTCGCGGTGGTAATAGCAGTAGCAGTGGTGATAAGATTAATGACAGCGGCATACTTCGACCTCAGCAAGGCTTTTGATACCGTCAGTCAAGAAGTTCTTACGTTTAGAGTGGTGCCATATTGACTCCAATCCTCGCTAGGGAAATGGTTATCGTCATTAATCCGCAACCGATCACAAGTTGGCGTTGAGTTACACCTGTACAGTTAGTGTCAATTGAAGTCATTTATTCCTGGGGTACATTGTCAGCAATTACCGTCGCAGACAGTGCATGGGAGGAGGATATGGCCAAAAAATGGGTTCTCAAGGGACGAATGACTAATTAACTAGGCAGTACGGGGCAGCATAGAACCCATAGCGTAACATTAATGTCTCGATTGGCGTAGTGGCAATCTTACATAGCATAATAATCTCCATATCATCGCCTCCGTTTACCGGCCTGACTACAAGTAATGGGTCTCAAAGAGTCATAGAGAGGCTGAATTGCCACGAACGGCTGATTATCAGGGAGTAGGTCACAATCATATAACCTCGCCCGGTTAACTAGTTCACTAGTTACTAACCGGTCCCAAGCCCAGGTAAAGAGGGAAGGTTGGGCAAAGGGCTAGCAACCATACCCCGTAAAGCCAGTCCAACCGCAACAGAAACTTCAAAGCACAGACAAAATACAAAACATAAAAACAAACTTATTCCTCAGTGGAATCGGAGAGACGAAATGACGCCGGTTGGTGAAGGCTTTCGGGAAGCCAATTGGCCGATGTATCTTATCTTCTCTCGATGAAAGCGAAAGTAAGACTGTGAGCATGGAATGTCTGCATCGTGTATTAAGCTATCAAGGCTGCCCAGATTGCC